ACATATTTGTGTTAGAATAAAAAAGACTGATTATACATTGATCTATTTATTTTCAAATCCCAGACATACCATATACACTTTTTACTCAAACATACATAACACACATTTGTAATATAATTATTTTAATTTGATTGTGTGGACCACAATCTCTGCACAATGCGATTTCTTTGTTCTCGTCCATGTGCTAACAGCTCTTGTTCAGCTCCAGTTGTGGAGCTGGCATTCTGCAGAGATTGTGGTGGCATCTGGTTCTGCTGATCTCCTCGGCTATCAGCATTTGCTAATGGTGGAACTGGTAGGTGATGCTTGTTGCAGATGTTATGCAACACAACACACGCATTGATGATTTTAGCCACAGTATGATGGTCATAATGTAACACTCTATGTGCTAGCAAACACCTCCAACGAGCTTTCAGAACACCAATGCAACGTTCTACTGTATTCCTTGTGAGACAGTGAATATTTGTATAATTTTCATCTGCACTACCAGGTTCAGCATTCACAATTGGTGTTAGAAGCCACGGTCTTAAAGGATATCCAGAATCACCTGAAAATTAATAAATGCTTAAAGAATTAAATTTATCTAAGTTATATGGCTAATTAGCATTTAAAAAATATTAAAAATACCCACCAAGCAGCCAAATGGCTTCTCCTCTACTGTAAAGGTCTTGGACATGTCGTTGGACATCCGACAGTTTCCAAATGTGGGCATCGTGTGTAGCACCACCAAATGATGCATCAACATTAATAATATTTAAATCACTATCACAGATCTGGAAATTTAAAGCATAATATATATTTATATCATTAGGCAATGTGGCTAGCCGTCACTATTAATTCCTTTTTTCATATGCTAAATATGGCCTTTGTTGGGTCTTATCATCTTAGGCTCTCTTTAGCCTGCAAGGTAAATACCTAAGCACAAAATAAATACTTGTTGCACTCAAAATATATAATATATTTAATTAGGAAAGTAGGTAGGTACTTACTATTTGAACATTTCTGGAATGGAAATGCTTTCTATTAAAAAATCTCTCCTCATGTTCTGTTGGCCTTATCATTGCCACATGTGAGCCATCAATGCATCCCAAACATCCAGGGAATCCAAACTTGTCAAAGAAACTATAACAAAAAAAAACACTTTCTTTCATTAATGATAAAATACAACTTGATAATTTTAGATATTTGTTTTCCATAATTATTCAAAATTGTTGTTGAAAGTCAGATAATTATGAGTGCCACAGCTAATGACTAATGTAGTTATAACTATGTATTTGCAATAGATAAAAAGTAAAGTGTTCTCACCCATTAACAATGGATTGTCTTTCTTGTGATGTTTGTGGAAATCGTATATACTTATAAAGTATTCTTTGATGGTTTAAGGCTCTTGTCACTTCTTTTACTGCTTTCGACACACTAGACTGGCTAAGTCCATGCAGATAGCTCATACCTACTGGCTTTTGATATGAGCCTGTTGCAAAAAAAGATAATGCGGCAAGAACCTAAAAATGCACATTGTAATTAAGGCTTCACAAAAATTTGTCACCCAGCTTTGACCATCACACAAACCATCATGTGACACAATGTTTACCAAGTCTCATACTATGTTTTCTTACCTTATTTTCCACACTAACTTTTGTTCTTCTTCTCGCCTGAGTAATGTAGGGTTTTAGCTCACTACACAAATCTCTGAACAGCTTCTTATTGAGCCTGTAGTGAGCTCGAAACTCCGAGTCGGAGAGCTGCAAAGCGTTGGCTTGGTTGCGAAGTCTACGCCTCAAAAGAGCCGTGTTATAAATAACATCTCTTCTATCATCGAAATTTAAAGCTTCTAACAACAATACAGCACGAGCCATGTTGATATTACGTCGTAATAATTAGGTGAATGTGAAACAAATACAAAGCAATTACTTTGCAATCGAAAAAAGTTACCTTTTTCAAGATCGCAGTCTGACAGTTGAAATTGTTTGTTGATTGCTATCGCTCTGCTGTCAAAAGTCATAGGTAATACGAAAACTCGACTCAAACCGAAGAGATTGGTCGATTGAATGCACTTAATAGTTCAAAGATTGTTCGATAGAGGCAGCACTGTCGCTGGTTTTGCTATGGCTTTGTTTTTGCTAATACGTAATACGAATTTGCGATTTACAAGCAAATATTGCGCGATTTTTGCTATCGCTTAGCTATTGTAAGATACGTAATCAGCCTGCGGTACTTCCCTTTTCTGATCACGGGGCACTTGTCGTCATTTAAGGCTGAATTAAGAGAGAGAGCAGTTTTTTTTTTAGGTTTTTAAATTTGCTCGCGCAAATTTGACAGTTAATTTTTTTGTTTAGTTGACTTCAGTTATCTCAGGTCACAAATCGAAATTCAAAATCCAGACTTTCGAATTTCAAGCAGATATTAAGGAACGATAGAGTAATTCCGTTGGCATTATGTACAATTTGATTTTTTAAATGACGATTTTGTTGGACTGTTGTTATTTTAATTTAATATGATACCCTAAAAGAACAAGCCATATGGCAATACTATCTTAACCTCTTCGCAGCCGTGAAACAAAGTCCCACTCGGCACCATCGGTGGTACCCTTCGGAAATTAACTTTAAAAATTACATTAACAAAAGCCAAACACATCGGCGCCCGCAGATAAGTTATTAAACATTGCACCATTACACTTTAATTTCTGCCCTGTTGGGATTTAGGGTGGCCACCCTAAAAAAAGGGGCAAAGGGTGCCGAATATGCTTACTTATTCATAAAGAGAGTATTTTAAGCGTGTTTATTTTTGTTTAAATAAATGTTCTCTGTGTTTACGTTGGTGCAGTCTACAGTACGTTGAGCCTTTACTTAGGTCTACGAACCGTCTTATCATCAGTGGTAAAGAGTTCAATTCAAGTATTTTAAAGACGTGTCACTGTCTGTACAATCAGCTTTATGTATTTGTATTAGTCTACAGTTGACTTCATCATCTAAAGATGTCCTTGTAAGGCCATGTCATAACTGCGCTCGTAAGAAAGGAGTATAATTCAGACAATTGTAACAGCGCTTTGGTTGGTCGGTTGGAATTTACTAGTCCATTCTTGAAACGTTTGTACGCTTTTACACGTTTTTGTTTTGCAGCTTTTAATCGAAGTGCGCAAGCGTCCGTACTTTATCATAGTTTATAATTTGAGCAGTTAAAAATAGCTAAAAACCACAGTACGTAAGTGAATGTTTAGGCATTTATATCTTTCAAACTATAGGGCTACAATAGACTTTGTCTACATTGGATATAACAATTGTGGCAAGATGACGTTAACTTGTTTCATTGGTTTTGATTAGTTGAAAATCAAAAGAGCCACAAAGGATTGGGAGAAGTAGTTTTATTTCCCATAACCTGTTGACTCTTCCGAGTATGCATAGATGGAGGGACGGCTATTAAATAGGCTATAAAATTTTAAACTATTGTTCCATTTATTCTACCAGCACTTATGTGCCCCAAATTCCCCGTTTCAAACTTTGTTTTTCCTAACATTTTTTGTCTTGTTTATTTTCAAATCGGGCGTATACGAGTGCACTTGAAGTTTTATAAACATGGAGTATGAATAACCTCTGTTTGTTTGTTTGCAACCGTGCCGTGGCTGCTGCGGCCGCGGCGAGCGGTGAAAGGGTTAATAAACTTATTTGTTACGTTGTCAAAAAGCCTATAACGAAAAATAATTCTTATTTTTTATGTTATTTTGACTTGAACTGACTGTGTGTGAGAACATAATGTATTTATTACACAAGATTATAAGTCGTCGCAGTTTCTTAGCGTAGACAAATTTTAAACAGCACTAAAGATAAATAATATCTCGTGAATAGGCGCAGTTTAAAAAAGTGTTCTATGAAAATAAACATCTGTCTTTTTTTAAATTCTTAATCCAACGGCATTGGAACGCGGCGTTTTGAGCCATGAGGGTAAAAAGGATCGGATAAAAGTTTTTGATTCCGGTATATTAATTCATGGCTTTGTGTTATTGTACCGTTTTGCCTTGCTTATGAAAAAAAAATGAATGAAAAAAAAAATGAAAATGTTTTTTGATAATATTAACAAACAATATGAAAGCTAAGTATGTATGTTCTGCTTAATATCCGTCGAAAAGGGATTTTAAGGTTCAAAGAATAGGGTTTTTTTAATATCATTCTTATTCATTATCTTTTGTTGCTGCTGGATGAGCACTATGGTCTCTCGTTGGGTTTTACGTGGGACCAATTTAGGGATAAAATTTCCCTGACTTTGTTCTGGTCTGGGGATAATTTTGTTAATATGACATCAAGTAATTCGTGTAATGGTTTGGTACATTTTGAAAATTTTATATTATTCTATTAGATGATCCGAGTCCAACTGCATTATATTAAAAGACGAATAGACATCGACCGCAGTATAGCATAGATATTAGATACTCGTAGATAAAGACCGGGTATGAAGTTATAGTTCAACTTCAAGTAACATTTCCAAGTTAATGAATAAGCAGTTAATAGTTTTAAGATAAAGTTGTAGATAATAATTTACTATTACCGCCATAGTCGTATTCATTAAAATAACATAGTATATTGTAGGACTGTAGCTTGACCAAATTGAGGACGTCCAACAGGAAGGTTACGTCAAAGGAATCCCTAATGCAAATGTATGTCATGACGTCGCCGAAGTCTTTATCTTTTAATTATTAATACAAAGATCGAACACTCAGAAAAAATTCCTTGGATCCGGCCGGATTCGAACCGACGTCTTCTAGCATACTGTGCTAGACGCTATACCAACTAAGTCACGGAACGAACCAGCGGACCTCACGAATTTTCCTATTTGCTTGCGTCGTATCTTTGTATTTGGTTTTTCAACGGCTTTTTAGCCGTAGCGCCATCTATGACAAATCTATAATATTTCGTCACCCAGTTAGATATCTTTACAGCTACCAGTCCCGGCTAGAGATGTCGCTATCCATTGTATTTAAATTTTTATTGAATTGACATTCAATTATTTTTATGTGACATTACGCTTTGTCTTTTGTCAAATATGTCCAAGTAGCCGGTATTTAAATTACTTACAAGAAATACAATCTTGAAGTATCTGTGGTCCTTGTAAAAGAGTTCGTCCAGGGAAGTACTGCCACATTACCTATTTCTGCCGCCAAGCAGTAGCATAAGCATTACTGCGTTCCGGTTTTGAAGGTTAAAGGTGAAATTGCAGGCGCTTAAGACTTGATAATTTATGTCTCAGGGTGACAGGCGCAGTGGAAAGTGTTCCTATTGCGATGTAAAGAATTTACCGGCACTGCAACTGCTATCTATGGCCGTCCCGTCACATGGTAGCATAAAAAATATCATTATTATGTAATGATATTCTTTGGTTGCACCTCTGCAATGGCTGCATAGCAATAAGGGTCTTTTTACTGAAGTCACTGAACTGTATTTTAACTATAATTTTATGTGCGATAAAGAATATTTCATTCATTAATTTCAGTCACTCATTCAATCATCACTGTTAGGCAAGAACTCACTCTTGCATTGAAATCGTCACATTGGTTAAACTCTACCGCTCATTCGTAGAGCAGATTCCCCTGAGAAGAATGAGCAAGAAACTCTAGGGGTTGCTTTTACTAAATAAACATTTGTACACATTTATCATTTACAATGGGTCTACACTTCACACGTTTGACAAGGATTGCGAACTTTTCCACGTCCAGGTTTTATCACGATGCTTATCTTAATCGTCAGCGAATGGTTACCATGCTTGTCTGCCACGCAGAGGTCCCGGTTTCGATTCCCGTGCCGGGAGAACTGTTGTTTATAGCCTATATTTATGGTTGTCTATGCTCATGATGTGGCACCAAAATCGAGGGTAAAAACTATTTCAACTAAATATTTGTTATAAATCGAGTTTTGTTCAAATGTAAAGATATGATTACATAATGTTTATGTTTTCTGATTTAGAAGATCAACATATGCCGTTCTATTGAATCAGTTCGCTTGGAAATCGCTTTGAAAGAATTCGGTCTAAAAAATCGTAGGTCGTTTGCACTTGAATCGATTTTATTGATATTTATTTAATAAACATTTAGAACGCCCTTTAAGCTGTATTCTGATAAAACTTAAAATAATTTTGTAATTCATATTTTCCACTTCGCTTGTTTCTTATACATTATAATAAAATACTGTCTTTAAAGTGGTAAATAATTTTATGACACAATCGGGATCAAAAACATTTTTTGTGCCACCATTTTGTCGTGTCCTAGATGTCATTCGTGTTTTGCTTCTCGAACTCCAATGTTTTCATGTCCCTGTAGTGTGTTGTTTTAAAGGTTTTTCTTAATATTTAGTAATGAATAATTAAAATTGTACAAAATGTGAACCTTTCTTCCAATTCCTTTAAGAATAGAAGGTTTAGCACACCTGCATTCACACTTTGACAATGACATTTCATGACATGTCTTTGTATCCATTTCGGTCATCTGATGATTCATACTATAGCGGAAATAACTTCTGGGCCACAACAATAATAATAGTGTAGGCCATCGATACGACAATAAGAATTTCTTTGACTTCTTTTAAGATGAGACGAAGCCCTTGAAACAAACATTGTCTTTCTCTTATATCCCATAGAGTTCTATTCCTATACGATCAGGAAACATGATAAAAAACAAGGAAACAGTAACTAATAGTAACAAAGTTTATCCCTTAAGTGCAGTTAAGGGCAAGACATGCCACAATTAAAGCCTTCTAACTACGACACCGTTTAACTACCTCGTGGGTCATTAAGACCCACCTTTACGACTCCCGCGATGACCCCCCGATCGTCGTAACTCGAAAAACTGACCTTCTGCTCATAAATGACTCCCTTGAGGACGCTTAAGTACGTAACTATCACGTTATAGCTGTATTTGTGATTTGCACAGTGGGTCCCTTGCGAGATTCGACTGGATAAAAACAGAGATAAATTTTTGCGACGCACTTATACTTCAACTTTTTTTTAATAACATTAACTATTCTTGATCAGTATCTTGTGATGGCATCGTCGAGAAATAATGTAATACAATATGTTAAACAAAATATAATGTTATATTTCTTATGGCGAAAATGCTAAATAAAAATGTCTTGGTCGCAAACGAGATAAAAATATGACGTGTCAAGCGCTAAAAACTCTTAAATGTGTCGTTTATGATAATGACGGTGTCTTGGGTAACAAAAT